CCCAGTAAGATATTTAAGTAGTCGAGAATCACCTTAATAATAGATATCTTAATTATTATAATTACATAGACAGTGATGATAATAAGGGTGATAATAATGCTAAAGATGATAATAGTAATGCCTAAGAAAAGGATAAAATGACCATGCTGGTAATGATGATCGGAACAACACTAAAATAAGAAAGGATAATTATAATAATTGCAACAATGATAAAACAATAATGAATAAGACTCTAATTACATAACTACTACTACTATCGCAACTACAAATATTGAAAATAGTCGAAACAATAATATTGATGATGAGGGTCACAATAATGATAATGATAATGATGATTGAGAAGATGTGATACTGGTGGCGATGACACTTATAAATGTTAGTAGTTGTAGTAGAAGTGGAAGTCGTAAAATTTAGAACAATAATAATAACAACAATACCAATAATGATACTAATGGGAGTTATGATAATAACGACAATGATAACAGTAATGATAACGATAATGATAACAATGATAATAATAATGAATAATAATAATTATGATGATAATGAATAGCAATAATAATAATGATAATAACAAAAACAATATCAACAACAACAACAATAATGATAATATTAATGATAATAATAAATAATACCAGTAAAAACAATGATAATGATAATGATGATTCTGCTACTACTACCACTAATACTACTATGATGATCATTATCATCATAATCATAGCAATAATAACACTAATAACAATATAAAACACACACGATTACAGTAACAAAAACATAATATGTACTTAACCTATATGTCCCCTGGCACATCCCCGACAAAAAAACGGGATAGAAAGACACAAAAAATAAGCAAAAATAAACAAACAAAACATGTTTTTAAAGATATATATATATAAAAATGAAAAAATTAACAAGAAGCAACAACACGGAAAAAAAACAACAACATTAATCTCCCGGCGAACTCACATCGACATGAACGTGGGCGCTCTCGTAGACTTTCATCGGCGGGATATTTCTGGGAATGTACTCGTAGAACTGGTCGTGCCCTCGGTACCACTTGAGCGAGTACAGGGTGTCGTTGAGCGAAGGACTCGTCTCATAGTGGCACGTGAACTTGACCTCTGTGCCCGAGATGGCGACGGGGGGCACCCATACCCCGGACATGCGGAGGCACCGACCTATGTTGAGGTGGGAGGTGGGGGAGATGTAGGGGCAGGGGGGGGGGTAGGGAAGGGAGAGAAAGAGAGGAGGTGAATGGAGAGAGATATTGTGAATGGGGTTTGAGAGAATCTGGCGTTTGTATAGTTGTAAGAATAATCATTTGTTTCTTTAAGAATATTTGTTCACTAAAGCATGAATTTGATCAGGGGTTCTAGGTGAATGGGTTTCAGGGGGTCGGTGAGGATTAGATGAAAAATGTTACCTTTTGCTTAAAATGATTTTTTTGTTCTTTACTTTACAGTGCAGTGATACTTTGTGCTTCTCATATATGCATGAGACAATCCATTATACTAATTGCATGCAACATTTCTGAGGAAAGCCGTTCATGGCATTTATCAGATTCTTAAAAAGGTTAAGAACCACTGAATTAGATGATGCTTTTGAAAATTATTATTATTATTATATATATATATATATATATATATATATATATATATATATATATATATATATATATATATATATATATATATATGTATATATATATATATATATATATTATATATATATATATATATATATATTTTATATATATTTTTTTTTTTTTTTTAATATGACGCTTCGGCCATTACCTTGTTTTCCAAGAGCATTCTCTTTTCCATTCATTTGAATAAACTTCTACCAATGACACAACGAACCGAGAAAAAAAAAACATTTTGAAGAGAATATAACAAAAAAAATCAGAAAATAAACTTGCCTCTTAGTGTGAAAAGACCCAAGTAAAGGGCCAAAGAAAAGATTATTCCAGATGACATTTTCTTTATTCTTCCTCTTCCTCTTTCTTTTCTTTCTTTCGTTCCTCCCTCTCTCGGTCTCCTCTTGAATCCTGCTATGTCGTTTTCTTCGTTTGTATTTATATTTTCGTGTTCTTTATTTGTTTTTTGTTACTTTCTTCTCCTCGATCTGTTGGACAAAGAAAAAAGAGAGGTTAGGGATAAATATTTCATATGAGTTATTCTTTTGTACCAGTACTTCTTTTACATGTATGGTCCCTGTTATTGTTTGGTATACACTGTAGCAGTTGCTGGTGTGTGTTTATGTTACTTGCATTTTACGCGTACTGTTGTTATGTGCGTTTGCCTGCATTGTATCATTTTGTTTGCCCTGTGTTTGTTCCTGTGTTTTATGTTTGTATCATACTCTTATTCAGTACGCAGATTGTACCTCTATCCTACTGTATTATCCCAGTATTAATCCTCACAATATACACTATACAGTAGTCAAGCGTACCTCTAGCAGCCTTCATTGTACCATTTCCCTGTTTTGTACTTTGTACCAT